AAGAAAGAAAGAAAGAAAGAAAGAAAGAAAGAAAGAAAGAAAGAAAGAAAGAAAAATAAATAAATAAATAAATGATGGGGGGCTAGCTCCATGGCACAGTAGCAATGCACCCCTGAGAGAGGCTGGGTTCCACATGGCAGCCTGGGTTTGGGTCCCTCACCCGGTCAGCCTAAGTGTGCTGGAAACGCGGGTGAGGGCCTGGGTCCAAGGGTCAGAGAACTGGAGGAAGCAGGTGTCGGCATGGCTGGACCCTGCATAGGTGCTTCTCTCTCTCTCTCACATGTGTGTGCACACATTCTTTATTAGAATAAAGAAACCAATGCAAAGATGATTCAAATAAAGGCTGGCAGGTGGTGTGGTGGTTAAGGGTATTGGACTCCCACATGGCTGATCATGGTTTGAATCCTGGACCTGGCAGGTTGCTTCCTCACTTTCTCTCTCTCCTCTCTCTCTTTCTCTTTCCTTCTCTGGTCAAATTGAAATAAACACATAATTTTTAAAAAAAAGGTAATTAAAATAAATAATTATAACAGGTGAGAACTCAGTACAGTCGCCTTGGACTTCAGCTGTCCTCTGTTCCTTGGTGGGTGAGTTCCTTGCTGAAGAGTGACTGACTGAGATTAAAATCGTAGGGCCTGTGAAGTGGGCTGCTCTTCCCGAGGTGGGGGATGGCCTCTGGCTCTGGGATCCCGGGATCTTAGACTCTGGTCCCAGCTCTGCCACTGACCAGCTGGGTGACGTTGGGCAAGTCACTCAGTGTCTCTGGACCTGTTTTCCCCACTGAAAATTGATAATAGTCTCAGCGTTGATGTAGAGTTACATGAGAGAATGCCCATAGATCGGCTTAAATACTGCCCAGCGGGACCAGGAGTTGGCATAATGGCTATGTCACTGGACTCCTTTGTAGTGAACTGCGGTTCAAGTCCCGGACTCGGTGGCTTAAACTCACACCGCGCATATACATGTGTGTGTGCCCAAGATCCCGAGAGGAGAGTGGAGGAGAAGGGATTGCGGCATGGCCATCCTCCTAGGGGGTGATTTCTCGCTTTCTATCTCTCTGTCTTTCTGGTGAGCGCATATAGCAAAAACCACTCTAAAACAAACAAACAAACAAACAAATAGTGCCCAGCACATAGGAAACTAGACAAAAGACGCATCTGTTTCATTTGAAGTCCACACACCTTATCTACCACCCCAAATGCCTAAAAGCTCTGAAAACAAGATTCATTGAGCAACAAAACCTGGCTGGGACTGAGGCCGGCCGTTGTCCCCGCCCAGTGTGATGGCCCATGTCCTTCTCTGCAGGATTATCGTGTCAGTGATGGGGTAGCAGCCCTGCCAGGGGCTTCCCAGAACAAGGTAAGGCACCCACTGCTTTCCCAGAGTCCAAAAACCTGAGTGATGAAGCACCTCTGACCCTAAAGGTACCAGATAAGGGGTTCGGGCCTGCACTCGCTCCCCTAGGCCACTCCCTCCATTGCCGCCCCACACACACTTCTTAGTTTTTGGCTGTCGGATGTATGCACTCGCCTTGGTGACAGAGAGACAGAGACAGAGAGAAAGAAAGTGAGAAATCACATCCCGGGTGGAGGGGGGGGATGGCCATGCCATAATCCCTTCTCCGTCTCTCTTTCCTTTCAGGATTTTGGGCACACGTGCACATGCACCCAGCTGGGTGTGTTTCTCAAGCAGCCAGATCTGGGACTCGAACTGCGCAGCTGATCACGCAGACTCCAATGCCTTAACCTCCATGCCACCTGCTGGGCCCTCCTGCAACCCCCCCTTTTTTCCTATGTATAGCCTGTGCACTTGCCAGAGAGAGACTAGGGAGTTAGGGGGAGTGAAAAATCCCCTCCAGGAGGGATGGCTGTGCCACAATTCCTTCTCTTCCATGCATGCACATGCGTCCAGAATGATTTTCTTTTCTTTTCCTTTTTTTTTTCTAAGAATTATTTTATTGAACTTTATGTTTTAATCCATTTATTTATTTTAATTTGACCAGACAGGGACAGAATGAAAAAGAGAGGGGAAAAGTGAGAAAGCAAGCTGCCAGATCCAGGACTCGAACCATGGTTGGCCACATGAGAGTCCAGTGCTCCAAATCACCATGCCACCTGCTGCCTCCCCTCTTTTCAAGAGATTTTGCTGGGACCAGCAGTTAGCATAATGGCTATGTCGCTGGACTCCCATGTAGTCAACCGCGGTTCAAGTCCCGGACCTGGGGGCTTAAACTCACACCGGGTGCATTTGCGTGCGTACCCAAGATCCCAAGAAGAAAATGGAGGAGAAGGGCTTGTGGTGTGGCCATCCCCCCTGGGGGGTGATTTCTCGCTTTCTGTCTCTGTCTCTCTCTGTCTTTCTGGCGAGCGCATGCGCCCTATAGCAAAAATCTCTCCAAAAAAAGAAAAAAAAAGATTTTTGCATTAGGACATGTGTACTCACTGGAGAGAGACAGAGACAGTGAGAGAGAGAAGGGATTGTGGTGTGGCCATCCCCCCTGGGCAGGGGTGATTTCTCGCTTTCTGTCTGTCTGTCAAATGCACGCGCCCTATAGTAAAAGCCTCTCTAAGGGACCAGCAGTTAGCGTAATGGCTGTGTCGCTGGACTCCCACATGACTGACCACAG